TTAGAGGGACATTTGAAAAGAAGGACAAGTACAAGGGTGTACATGGAGTATGAGGACAGTTTACTGGGAAGTGGAATGAAGGCAAAAAAAAAGCAAAATTGAGGGATCGGGGAAGAAGAAAAGGGTGACCTAGAAGAACTAGTAGAGGATTGAGAGTCAAAAGGAAAGTAAACCAGGTGAGGTGGGATAAAAGAGGCAGCAGAAAAAGGGTTAGAGATATTGGGGTGATGGGTAGAGGGTAAAGCACAAAGTAGGGGAATCAATAGGAAGAGGAGGGGGCAGGTGGAAGTGTAGTAGAGGAGGAGCCTGCCATTCTGGTACCCAACTCCAATCTAAACAGCAGGAGGAAGCTGTAAATCAGACTAATGCGACCAAGCTGTAATTCAGACCAGCAGTGCCAGGGCGCTAGTGCGGGGACCCCGAACGGCGGGAGTGTACAAAATGCTGCCGAGAGGCTTTAATCAGTGCAACGATCCAAAGATACGGTCTCCCCCAATCAGCGGGCTTCCTGTCAGTCACACACGACTGAACCGGACCAATCAGGCTCCACCAAGGTTCCAGACATGCTGGCTGGGCTTTGGGCTGCTGCCAAACAAGAGAATTATTCATCTAAACTGGAAAGGTGGAATGGGCCTTTAATTCAGAGCATAGAGGGAAGAGGTGATAGATTTGTCAAAGGTTGGACATAAAAGACTATGGGATCATGTTCTACAATGGCTCATCAGAAACATATGGTGGAAGATGAGAGACACAAGGGAGCTTTAGAGAAGGACTTAATCATATTCATAAGGGGGGAGTTCCTGCAAGTTTAAGCACCAGAATATGTGACAGGCATATCTGTTCAGATCTGTTAACAAGAGCTCTTATGCCAATAAATCTCTCATTAAACACGAGATGAAAAAAAATCACACAAAAGCCCCATTATGAGTTTAATCTGACAACTTGTTTAATAAACATAATGATGTTCACAGCTGCTGACTGTCCTAAAAAAAACCCAACCAAACAAAAATAAAAATATTTCCATCGATCTTTGTCTAGTTCTCCGTGTCTAACATGTCTAACAGATCTGCTGTTGGCAGTCACCTCTCTAATTACAATTACAACACCCATGGGACTTCCATAATCCTTGCCAGCAATGAGCTACAAAATAGTAAGTGAGATGAGAAATTGCATCAAACTTACCATGAAAACATCATTCGAACTCCGAGCATGTAAAACAGGCAGACAAACTTTCAAATTGCTCGCTATCAGAAGCTGCCTTTTTATACCTGCTTTTCACTCAAAGGGGAAGGAGGGCAATGCATTAACTTAAAAGTGAGCGGAAAATGCAAATGTAGTCCACTTTATCATCAGGCATTCAAACAGACCCTTTCAACTCGACAATCCATAATATTTCAGCTTTGATGATCAGGAAATGGCCGTGGCTCGATGGTAACACCGAGCTAGATTCTGCTCTGGTAGTGGTGTAGTAGTAGAACTAGTGTGACTGGCTGGGCTACACACACTGTGCATGTTAAAGCCACATGCAGAGTCTTGGCAGTAAAGACGCTACCGCAGCAGCCAATCAATAAAACCTTGTTACGCTAATTGCGAGATCATAATCTCCATTCCTACTTCTGCTGAATATCCAAACAGTCACTCCATTAGCCGAATTATTCCCCTGTGCAGTTTCTCCATCTCCACCCCTCCCCCTTCCATTTCCTCCTCGTGTTCTCTTTTCTGTGACATATTTCTCTCAAACAGCAGTTCTGCTAAATTAATTCATAAGTCAGGGAGAAAGACATCAAAAGAAAACATTGTCAAGGTAAAGTGCTGATGAAGTATATACTGTTTCTTTCACTTTGCTGTGGAGCTATGAGAAGGAATCTCTCACAGTGCATTATCTTTGATCGTGTCGCTTCGCACTGCTCTGTTTAGTTATAGCGAGAGGAATCTTACCTCAGGTGATCTGGTCTACTAAGACCTTTATGATACAAAAGCCTCTCTACTTAGGAGGTGCTCTAATCCTTGCCACTGTGGAGATTTTCTCAGTTCAAACCTCTGTGACAACACTAGGAAATACCAGAGCTTCTTCTCGTTGGTTACTCTTTTCTACAATGATGCCAGGACAATGGCCAGTGGCCACAGGGGCAGACAAAGAGCTTGTTGATGCTAAGACCAGGGTCCATGACCTTGTCATTGAATCACTAACACTTTGTCACTCTGCTTGGGGGGAAAAGAAACTCTACAGAGAACTAAGGAGGGTCAGACAGCGATGCTCATGGGAACATCGATATGACAATGGCACTGACCCCATTTCCTTGTGACTCATCACTAGAACGTACCCATCTAAGCACTGAACAGTCTGATAAGGTTGCGTTGCCAGATTTACTCACCAGCACCCTGTGAATGACCTATATGAATGTGCAAGACATATAGAAAATTAATTCATATAGGTAAGCCACGTTAAATAGAGCAATTACATGGTGAAACCGAAGTGAGAGAAAGCCGAGCACTGAAAAATACACTCTTCACAGAGTTTCGAGGCAGAACTGCTGACCCAAATGCATTTAAATGCAACGGGGGTAGAGACTGAAAAAGAGAAACAGTGAGCAAAAGAGCAAAAGAGGGGGAGTCAGAGAAAATGGGTGAAAGATAAGTTGAGGGAGATAATAAAGCAGCAACCACAGAAAAGTCAGCTTTAGGCAGTATGATTAGTTTAAGTTCGAGATAGAACATACTGAGAATAGCAGAGCACACTGCTGTATACCGCACCCAACTGTTCTGTAAGAATAACACTAATTAATAAAGGATAAGTCTTGTTTTACCTAAACACTTGCAAACAGCACGAGCGTTAATGCAGTTGCTTCTGAGGAACACGAAGCATATACTAGCAGGTATAGAATCGTATTTTTCGTGTCGCATTAGTGCAAGAAATGATTGCACTTTATCAAAACATGCTTTGATAATGTCAATCAAACTGCGGCTTTGTTCCAAATTTAGTGACTAAACACTGAAACGGAAAGCATGCATGGATATAAAAAATCCCTTTATTAGTGCTTATGATGTCGTTGATGTGAAATGCATGATGAAAATTAACTACCGAGTGGTAGTTGGAGAACATTACAACGAAATAATTAATTGAAAAGTTAATGCATAAAACGAGTGAGGTTACATTTTGTGTGTGCTGACCACGAAGACGGTGTAATGTAAGAGTAAGTAGAATGGGTTAGTGACGATTATTCAGATTGACAAAGTTCAGTGAACCGTCTCAACAAAGGTGCCCTCAACCTTTATTTACAGTGACTTTTTTCCAGCGCGATCGCACTATTTAAAAATCTGCTTGGATAAAAAATGTAGCACAGCTAAAGAGGTGCAGATCAGTGATTTTTGGATTTTCCCATCTCTATGTTTTGTTGTCAGAGTGTGTGTCCACCCCTTAGGCCTCCCTGATTCTAGCTGTCAGAGGGAACGAGAGGCTAAACTTGGTGAAGCGGAGAATAGAGCAAGGCACATGTCAAATGTGAGGGGATCTTGAGTAAACAAAGTATAACACAGAGCAAAGCAAAATCGTCTCTCATCCTATCACCGTCTTTCACGCTATTTCCCTCTGTCTCTTTGTCTCCTGCTTCCCTGTTTTCTACCTATCTGCCGCTCACTCTTGTCTTCTCTAACAAACCGCAATGCTTCACCCTCCCATCAGTAACTGGTGCTGATGTCTAATCAGTCAATCAGCACTACAGTAAAGCCACATGTGCTATATGAAATTAACTGATAAAAGTAGTGGTTAGCAGTTTTTTAGAAAGTGAAGTATCTGCATGACAAATCTGTCAAATAACAGCGCTGTCCCACTTAAAATGACTTTGTGGCAGTCCTAATAGTCTGAGCCTTCTGAATTAACTTTACATGTGTAGAAAAGACAACACAAGCAGCTCTGTGTCCTACTCTGGGCCATAAGCCAAACCTTAACAAACCAGAGCATTAAGAAATTTAGCAAAAAAGCTAATGCAACTGAAACACAGAACTACTGTAGCCTACGGGTTGGTTTTAATAATTGCAATTGACAGGGACAAATTCCCCGCTCCCCTGTGTATGTCAGATGGGCTTATTCCCAAACTCCACAAATCCCCCAGTCCAAACACAACCATATGGTCTCCCAGTTGTTCATGACCAGCTGTGCTACAGTGTATCTGGCAGGGTTGCCATGTGCTTTAGAAGAGCAGCGACTCGCCCATTCTAACTTAATAAATTCTTTGTAATGAAGCCAAAACATTTCTTTATGTCGGCTTTTGCAAAGAGAATGACTGAATATCAGGAATATAGGGAAGTAAAATTGTATGACGACTCTGTCACTTTACAGTAAGGTCAACGCTCTTTTTATGGGAAATTTGCATAGTTTCACTGGTTTAGCTTCTCTGGTTTCTGTGTACTTAGCAGAAATCTAATCATGATAGGTTAGTACTGTGATGAATTGCTAACCCAGTGCCTACTGCACTATAAACGTAGCAGCAGTGTTCAGCTTCAACTTATAAAAGACAAGAACACATGTTTTATGTTTTATATTATGAAGTAACCAATCGTATATTTAATAAACATCATGTCTTATATTTCAAGAATATAGTTCTTTAAAAAATGCGCTTACAGTGCTTAATTTTAAAAGAGGCATTTGAATAAGCAGATTAAGTAGTCCATAAATTTCATTGTCAAGTACATATGTAAAAATGTTGCATTTATTACTACATTACCAATTTTACTGTTAATTGCTCTTTGAATGATTGTAACATCATTTTATTTGTTTGCATGCAACATATGGAATATAGCATGTTCTGTGTGGCATATCTGTGAGTCTAAAAAAGAATAAAATATCTTTAGTCCACTTGCTTTCAGCTTATGTCACATAAGTGTGTGGTTCCTTTCAGTAACAGCGACTTATTGTACATTTCAACAAGACTTGACAACAGTGAAAGAAAAATGGCTTCAAGACTATTTAAGGTCTTCCATTATTAGAAATTTGGACTCACCTGGTTTGGTGCGAGGAACTCGTGATTGTTTTCGTTCATGTACATGTTGTCACCATCAAACTGTAGTGCAGAGACACAGGGAGTGAGAGAGAGAGAGATGAGAAAACAGTGAGGCAGAGGCCAACAGATCACAAAAGGGATAAAAAAAAAAAGAAATTCTGTCAGTCAGTGCCGATACAGAAAGAGTGTAACACTGCAGCCTAATGACTGCAATAGACCTCGATGCTCCAGTGAATGTCAGTAATTACAGTTCATTAGAGACTTGTATAATTAGGCCCTGTCAAAGCTTGTGTAACTCACACTCTTCCTCTTAGCTTGCCTACAGCCTGAGTGTGTGTTTGTAAGTGTTATGCACACCTAACTGCCATTATTCTCCGTGTGTCATGAAGCAACAAAGGCACAACAGAGTAATAATCGCAACTGCAGCCACCGATGTCTAGTTAGTTGACTACCCAGTTGGTTCAGTCAGTCAATCTTGCACATTCATATCTACTAAAGAAAAGTTTTTTTTCATTTTCTTTCCAATCGCTCTAGAATGAAACGGTCTGTTGGTTGGTCAGTGAGTCCACCACTTTTAAATAGTTTAACATGTATGGGACATATTTTCATAAAATAAAGTACAAATATCTAATATCTGGGGATTGTCCCTCTGGGGAGTTTTGCTCCACCACCATCATTAGATTATTTTTTTACTTAATGACATTGCCATCGTCAACTACTGCATGTATTTAATGCAAATTAACAAATGTTGATTTGTGTTAAATTAACATTTGCATTTAGTGCAACATCAGTCATCTATGTCTTTCTCAACATTAGCCTGCTAGTACTGCCATTATTAGTATATTGTTTTGCAAGCCTCTGAGGCTCTGTAGGTGCTGATTTGTAAGCATGAAAGGTTAATCAAAGGCAGCACTGATGGCAGTAAATAACCTTTGTAAGTCAGCTATTACGTAGTATTAATCAAGAAACTGATCTACTGTGCTAGAACGTCTGCTTGAACAAGTACAGGAGTTTCTAGTTTAAATGTTAACAAAGACAAGCATTAAAAAATATTTCTGTTAAGATCATTCTGTTAAGATGAGACAAGTTTTTCACATGGAATTACATTTAAAAAACAAAAAGATGTAGATACCATGAAATTACCAATTGTTTTTTAGCCCCACTTTGAAGCTTCAGCTTTAGCACTATGATCGCTGCCATCTATGTGCTTTTTAGAGCCAGAATTCACTACGTCAGGACAAGAGACTCGAGTGCTACCCAAGCTGCATCATTAGAATATATGTGTGAGATGCACAGGTCTGCTAATTAATTGCAAGTCCATCCATCCATATTCTGCTTACCTAATTCAGACTGGCAGTTAGGCTGGAATCTACCCCAGCTGTCATGGGGCAAGAGGCAGCGTGCAACCTTGACAGGTCGCCAATCTACTGCACTGCTAAAACAGAGACACAAACAACCATTTACACCTAAGTCCAATGTAGAATCACCAATGAAGCTAACATCCGTGTCTTTGGACTGTGGGAGAACATGTAAACTTCACCTAGAAAGGCCCCAGCCGGCCAGTGGATTCAAACCCAGGACTTACTTGATAACAGGTGATAGTGTTAACCACCACACCCTTAATTCAAATTAATATAAATACAAAAAGAGAATGTGGAACAAAACTTGTATAGTCTGTTTGCACAACTAACCACACTGTCGGAAAAATTCAGATCATTGCATTAAAAGCTGTCTAAAAGTCACCGACATCACAAACAAGGTCACTTACGTTCTCTGCCGTTAAACTTGTTATTTAACCAGTTTCACAGTTTCAGTCTGTGGGGACTGACCTGCTTTGGGAACCAGCCTCAAGTGGACATTTTAAGAAGTACACTTTTTGGCACTTCTGCATACTTGCAAGTTTTTCAGACCCACAAGTTGCTGATCGTCTTTGTTTATATTGCTTGTTATATTTGCAAATAAAAAATCATAAATGTAAAGCAAAACATTATCAAATTTATCAAATTATGATATGACACCAGCCTGTCACGTAATACACTAATAACCAAAAACGACATGAAAAACATGACAAAAAACATCCCAAGCCAACATTTTTACCAACCCTGCCACCTATTTAGTGATACACACAAAGAGAACAGCCTTTAGCTTGTTCTGCACTTTGCTAGTTAAATCAGGACAGGACAGGACAGCCCAGCGATTTCATAGCTCAGAAATACCAAGCTAAAGAAGCCTAAAGGGGAGGCATAGGCTAGAGAAAAGGTGACAGTTTGAGGTTATGGAGAGGCGATGAGAACGACAAGGGTGTATCCTGGAGCTAATGGGGAAGGGGATAGCGATCTTGTGCAAGTAGGAGGCCAAGTAGGGAACATACTGTAGGTATTTGGGGGGGTTTAGAGAGATACATTTAAAAAAAGCACAGGGAGCATGAATGACACTGACATAAAGGAGGAGAGGAGAAGGGCTGTAGCTGCAGTAGTGGCGACAGAAGCCTGTGGTTGTTCTGGCTGTACAGTGATTAACACTGGGGTCACAGCCAGAGGCCGCAGCTCGAAAGACACGGTCATATAAACATGCGCACACATTCACACACACGCACGCTCGCTCACACTCTCCCAGAGGCCTTCCCTCCCTCTCTGTCTGACACTATTTGGCACCAACCATTTATGAGAAAACAAAACACACCTCAAGACAGCTAGTAGTGGCCGAGATGAATTACTGTTGCTACTGTAAGGTCAAATAACGTGACTGGTTTGTGCCTACAGTGAGTCAGAGTGGGAGGGTGTTTCTCAAGCTCTGGCATGGTGACTGAAAATGGACCCGGGTCTTATTGTAGCAATTTTTCACCACATGCAAAGTGTTGCAGGGACCAATTTATGCAAATCACTTGTTCTTTTTTATCAATTCTGGGATTTTCTTTCCTTAACATTCCAATATTTCCATTTAAGTTATACTCAGATTCAACTCCAGCACAGTTTTCATTAACATTTATTTCCATCTTCATACATAACACATTGAGGGCAACAAACAAACCAAAGTACAAAGGCAATTCCTTGCAACATTATTCAATTCGAAGCCCCAGTTCCATTTCCATGTTATCATTCAGCCTCTGATGGAACTGTTACTTCTAGTGCAATAATTTCTGCCTGATAGCACTATTAGTTTGCAGAAGGAACAATCATTGTATTCTGCAATGAAAATACAATCACGTTCTTGCTCTTGGAGAATGATTTTACATGCTGTCCTACTCACATTGTGCTAGATGTCAAGGTGTCTTAGAATAGTTTATTTTCACAACTGCAAACCAGATCTCAATGAGCAAAACAGGGTAAGTGCAAAACAATTATATCAAATGTCAAAGGAGCAAACTGAGGTCTGCAACTGTGCTCTTGCTACACAATGGGAGGAGTCTCCAAGGGCAGAGCTGTTAAAATAATAAACACCATCTAAAATCAGAGGAAAAGGTAAAAATAATCATTTCCTGGTACTGTGAGGTTAACAACTGGTGAGTGTACTGTACACACAGTTTTTACAAACCTCGGTTGTCATGCTGTGCTGATTTTTATTTAATGCTCTCACTCTAATCTGGAGTACGTCAAAAGGAATGATTTTACCTTTTGTGAAATGAAATTACTCCCCTTTCTTGCCTAGACATAGATGAAACCACCAATACCATTCTCCTGTCTCGACACCAAATTGATGACAATAATTTAAAAAACAGGCAATTAGATTCACTTGGCTGAGGAACCAGCTCATCTGAGTAAAGACCTTTAAAAAAGGGTTAGAAAACCTACCAGTTAACACATTATCTCATTACATTTTATTTGTTTAGAAAGAAGTAAGGACAAGAAGTTTTAGCAGCAATTATTTTTTTAGATGAGACTGTGTCTGGTCTTTATGCTGCGCTAAGCTAACCAGCTGCACTTGCATACCTTTTCTTTTGTGTTATTAAAGGCCAAACTCAATTCTAATCTTTCTGAATGAGCTTCGTTCAGCCAAGCACCTAGCTGAAGTGTACTTGACCAAGACTCTGAAGGCCTAATTTGATGCTTATCTCTAACCACTGACCTCTGACTGCTAGCCTCCAAGACCTTTAACTGACCACTGAGATTAATTTCCTCATTTCAAACAGAGAGAAGACAGACAAGGGCTCTGACCTTAGAGTAGATGATGCTAAAAAACACGTAATTCATTATAATAAAGGCCTTTGGCAAACATTTAATCTACTAAAGTAATCAGGAAATAAGGGATGAAAATAAAGGAAAAATAAGTTGAAAAGTATACCAAATCTTGACTTTGTATAATCTGACTCTTAATTCGAAGATGTTTTCCCTAGAAGTCATAATGTGTGAACATAGAAGTAGCGGATATATGAGGAAAAAGGGAGGTTTGTAAGAGAACAGCATGCATGTCGTGTCTCTCTGTGTTTGCTTTCCTGTGGCTTCGAGGTCATTAATCATAGCGGTCAAATCTACAGCAAAACAATTGAGCAAAGGAAAACACAGACAGAGAGAGAGAGGTTGAAGGGAGGAGGAAAAGCAGGGTGAAGGTGGGAGAGGTAGAAAGCTACAGGGAGACAGAAGAGGAGAAAATTTTTGAAAAAGATTGAGGCTTGAGAAAGAAAAGGGACAAGTTAGGCCTGTAGAACTGATGCAGCTGACACCAGTTTCTTGTTTGCATAGCAGAAATGCAAATAGAGAGTGAGGGAGAGAATGGGAGGGAGAAAATAAAGTGGGAGAGATGCTATAAATAACTTTGTGTTTGCGTAAAGCCAAACCAATGTCAGTTTGATGCAGGAAGTGCACCACAGTTGCAGAGGTTATAGAACAGTTGACTGAAACGCAGCATATCAGAAACTGAGTTTTGCAAAGCCTTCAAACATGGATTCACACCTTTAGTTTAATCTAGTTTCATCCATTCATTAAATAATATTTTTATATGGGATAAATGACATTTAGGATTTTTTTTCAACTTTTAAATAACACTGGATTTGTTTTTTAATGGATAGTAGATACAGTAATCTTCTGTAAGGAATAAATTATATTTGCCTTTATTTGTTATGT